GTACTTTCAATGTTTTCACATGTATAAGGAAGTAATATACCCATTTGATTGAGGTGCCTGTTTGGCGATAGTCCAAAATGTCTCCCCCAGCATTTGTACCGATGCCTTGTGGGGTGCAACTGGCTTGCATCTAAATCAGTCTATCAATCCACACTGAAAAGCAGACATTTCTTTTGCATTTTTGGATCGGTGTATGTTCGGACATGCGTTTCGTCTTTTCGCTTCGTGGCCTCTATTGCAATCGCCTGTGTCTGGTACCCAGCTTCCACGCTATAGGACACGGCAGCCACGACTGGTCAGCACATATATAACTGTGCCTGAATGTGACAAATTAACCACTCCTCTGTATTATTGTGGAGCCCATACAGCAGCAGAAGTTTTCAATGACTGGCTGTAGTGTTAGCACATCTAAGAGAGAACGCACAGCGTATACTAGCCGATACCAGCTGTAGTTCTAGCCCGCTTCTAGATCTTATCGGAAGACTACAGTGAGTTCCACAAGAGCCCAAGTACATCAGATAGGAGTCCATTTAATTCAAGTAGCCTTTCTCCCCAGCTTACTTAGGCGTCCTGAATGCAGCGGCTTCAGAGTCAGGAGTTGGAGTGTAGGCGGAATGTCTTGAGATGCAGCACAGCTTGCAGCAACAGAGTGGCCCCACACAAAGGCACAAACATGTCTCATTTGTGGCATGTGCAATGTAAACAGTTGTTTCGAACTTTTTTGCATCCAAGACCCTCATTACAAACAATCATCCTTAGCAATGAACCCTATCGTTGGAAATATTTTGCAGACATACCATGTGCCTGGCGCCGGGGAATTGTTTATGTCCCACTTGCTCGTTAACTGCCGTTACACATACAAGGGATTTGGAATTGAATGTGCAAGGTAACCAACGTAGACCATCAAGAACGAGCCTTCGCTGCTCGGCATCCGGCTGCGCTCTTCGCGGGACGTGCGAATCCACAAAAGCTGAGGCGTCTAGTTTGAAACTAGCTGCAGGTCATCGTTTGCCGTAATTTTTGCCATGGTGTCCCTGTGCTATCCTCATATATTTCCGCGCTGCTGCGATCTGCGTGGGTAGGCTGCTGGCTTTTGACATCAAGATCTAACGGCAGGTCCGCCAAAGGTGTCTCCAAGGGTGCAGGAGTGCAACGATTTGAAGACTTCAGCGCTGCATTCTAAACCCTAACTGAAGAGGAAAAGAAATTAAGCAGCTGAAAACACTTCTGCTGGGTATGGAGTCGCAAATTCTGAACCAGTGTGCGGCAGGTTCCCATATTTTTACAGTTTGTCCAAGGACAGTGTGCGGCTGGTTCCCATATTTTGACAGTTTGTCCAAGGATGGATGACGTTTCTGGCGGCAGCATTCTGATTCTGTGGCCCTCGATTTCCTTATCCTTTGAATTGGACCAGTTAGACTGGTAGCACTGAGCTTTGCCGGAATACTACTGTTGAAACTGAGGTAGTACGATGCGAGTCCGAGAAGCATCTGACCGCCCGCTTCCGTGCGCGTGTACAAGGGTAACGGCCACCTCCGAATTGCGTATATCTCCGCAGGGTCTGGTTTGATCTCCTGTGCTGAGACGCGAAACCCTAACGAGACAATATTCTGCATAAAAAGCGAACAATTTTGAGCTCTTAAGAAATGCAGCTTCTCGAATAGCAGTTGCAGAGTGCGTCGCGGATGCTGTAGGTGTTCCACCACATCCGAGCTGTGTACGAACACGTAATCGGTTTAGATAGCCGTGCATCCTTCATTGATTGGGCCCATAAAATGATAATTTACTTGCTGTCACAGTTTGGAAGGAGCACGCACTGGGACAAAGTGCTTGCACGTTCACTCCTGCATGCCAAAGGGGGTAAGAAACGCGCTCGTGTGGCTGTAATCGGGGGTATGTTAAGGTCAATCAACGAAGTCAGACGATGCATATACTGCTGAAATCTGCAAAGAGTCTAACAGCTCGTTGAACAAGAGCAGCCGGAACTTGTGTCTCGCCGTGATATTGTTGAGGGGTTTGAGCACACATGTGTCACCCGCCGCCCGTTTTCTTCTCCAACATAGGATTTTACCCATTAACACTACTTGAAGGCTGGATTTATCTATTTTTTTGTTTAGTTGTCGTGTCTTTCCCCTTTAAAGACGCTGGACTCCCCGGTGTATTGGAACAAAGTTTGGAGCTACACCAAGGATGAGTTCGATGCTGTGCGTTGAGAGTTCAGTGGATGTTCGACCCCTTGGCAGCCTATTGTGGATTACAACACCTGAGGAGTCTTCCCCCGATTTTTCTCACTTCTTCTGCTTAGTGGTACTGAAATAAATCAAATACTTGTCATCAAATATCCCACAATTTGGGGTCTTCGCAGGGCCCTATCAAGGGAGTGAATGCATTTCTTCGCAAATTGCCGCAGCGGTTCTGCATTGCGTATAAGCCTCTTTGGTCCTTTCTTCTTGGGAAACTGTTCCCAGAATGCAAATGCCGTTGGGAGCGCTGAGATGTGCATTCTCTAGCATCCCATGACGAACACCGTAATGATGTCATCAGGAGCGCACATCCTCACCCTTCAGTGTGCCACCTAGGGAATGCCTGACATTATGTCATGGTGGCCCTGTAGTATGGTCTACAACCTAACCAGTATCACATTTTGCGTCCATAATCTTACCAACCTCCGTGTACATCCTACAATTCGAGCAGCGTAGCTGCACGGACAGTGCCAAGGAATGTACTAGAAGATGGCATCTCCCCACCGTAGCTTCACATATCGCTCCACCGATATGTGACCTTGCCCAAGTTTCCTCTTCACTGCCATTGCTTGTTTTCGTGTCGACCTAGGAATGAACGTGCATGGCAATGGTTCTATAGTCCGGATATTTTCCTGGGAGGCAGGGCATTGCTTAGGTGCAGTCACCGTTGTCGCACGTCCCATTGTAACGGCAAAGAAGGCAATAAGAACTGTTGCACTTTCGGTGCCCTCAGGAAACGAAGATGAAACTATGAAGAGGCAAGAAATTCCATTACTTGCCCCACATCGGGGGGGCTGTCAAAGGGGGCTGACTTGCAAAGGCAAGGCCTTCCATCGAGAATACATATTGCTGTTAAGCTTTTTCATAGGACAGGGTGCAGAAATTGCGGTTCACTCAACTGGAGCATGCTCCCAACTGTTAGCCGCCTCCCAACCGGAGAACAAATCCTAATCAATCTCCATTGTGCGAGAAACGTAAAAGACCGAGATTGGACAAAGGTTGGAGGTTGAGGTTGGAAAAGCTCCAAACTAACGCTTTTGCATACATGCATATTTTTAGCACATTCGTTACTACTCACAGATATGCAGAGGGCCTCGCTGCTGTGCGGGAGGTTCGTTTCTTGCATCTGCACCCCGGGAGCCTTATGGAACTACCAAGGGTACCGTCGGAGCATGAATCTTATCCGAGGGCTATCGTGAGCTGCAGGGGAATTAAAATACTTAGGGGGGGACTTCCTGCAATAGCGTGGGCCTCCCTCCTCGATATCCTGGCGCCCTGATCTCAGCGCCTATCTCGCAGTTCCAAGTGCTTGAGCCACTGCTCACCTGGGGCTGCTTGAAGGAGGTGGCCTCCCGTGAACTGCAGGGCACTTGCCGAAAGGCAGCCCCACAATCAAGCGCAAACAGCCACTAGTGACTGTCTGTATGAACGCTGTAGACAGCTGTTGAAGATTTCTGGGTGAGTGTCGTTCCTCTGCTAGTGCAGACTAACGGTTGTTGTGGCCAGTGCAGAAATATGACGCAATACATAGAGTGCTGTGGTGTACAGGTCTTCATGTTTTCTTAATTACCTATAGCCTTTCTACTGTTTTACTTGTAGACTCGGGATTCATACAGTTCTAGCATGCATAGGCTTTGCAGTGGCGCATCCCAAAACGCTTCCTACACGCATTTGCCCAGGCTATTCGCATGAACTTCGACACTGAAATCTACACCCGACCAGTCAGCGGTAGGCTCCAAAGTGTAAATATACACGATAGAATGTGAGGATGGCTTTCAACCGTCTCCTGCGGACTGTATGGCCCTGTGCTCTGCGTCTTCGCTAGCGCCGCCTCCAAAATTTCCCATCTAGGCAGAAACCAACTCAAAAAAGCAGCTCCATTACTTACACATGATAGTGCGAACACTGGAAAAAATAACATATGGGGAAAACAGGCTCCGCAGCGGTCCGACCTAAGCCAAAGCTTTCAGCACCAGAACATTACTGGGTGACCTTCAGGCGGTTGGTGTCTCGGTGGGAAGTATTTGGTTCTTGTCCTTCCTTCCTTGGAATCCGTTGGTTAATCCTGTATACGTTGTCGATATATTCCAGATTAAATTTTTCAATAAGACAAAAGCGGAAAAACCTTCGATGGCGTCTTAGATTGCATGGAGTTCACCGGTGACTGCGGGCTGCTCAATGTCTGCACTGGCAAGCAGCAAGAGTGTGTGAGAAATCGGCATAGCTGAGGCGTCAAACGGCTAAGACGACAGTTTACAAATAATAATGATATATTTACATTTATTATTATGTAGTGAGAAGACAAGGTGGAGGATTGATGGGGCTAAACTATATGCCTGAGGAACGAAACAAGCGCCGTTCTGTGCGTTAAACTTGTCTGCTCGTAGATCTGTTTAGATAGACGAGCTGACGTTATCTGTCCGCCCTCCCTGTTTAAATACCATTGAAGTCGTTCTCTGTCTTGGGAAATAACTAGTTTCCTTTGTTGCTAAATGCTTTTCTTCCGAATACTCAGACCCTTATTAACGCTTTCGACCCATCCAACATCCCATTCTGGTCTACACAGCAAGGCGATCGCTTCGTGGCCTGCAGGTCACTGAGCATGGACCCAAGTTGTTCACTAATCGTTATTGTTTATCTACATTTTTGTCTTTGACTTTGTCTTTCATTACTCAGAAATAGAGATTTGGATATCTGCCTTTGACCGTTTTCCGGGGCAACACCTGGAACACCTGGAAACCTTGGCGTTGGTACAAGATGGATCAGCCCATCACCCGAACAGCCCATTCTACCTTAGAAAGTTCTCCCCAAGAACATCTTCTTAAACAAACAAAACCAACCGATTGGAGCTCCATACACCACCCCGAGGCTGGAGGGTCCTCTGTCTCTACTGCAAGTGGGGCCCCCACTACATTCAGTTCCTCATCCTCCTTTTCTGCGGCGTTCACACCTCCCTTTGAAGAAAACGGACACAGAAACTTCACTGGAAGCACCTTCACCAATAGCAGGTGCAGCAGCAACTGGACCGGCAGCAGCTGCAGCACTGGTGGCGCGCCCTACGCGTTGAAGCACCACTACATCGGCGTCCTACACAGTGCTGCTTCTGCCCCCCCGCTAACGTCTTTAGGTTTCCCATCCAGTGCTGTCTCCGTTACAGACACGTCACCTGCTTGGGCCCAGTACCAGTTCACCAGCAGCAGCAGCTCCAGCAGCGGCAGCGTCACGGGTTGCTGCACGCCTCTTTACTGCAGTCTCAGTCCGACCCCCACCCCAGCAGCGCTCCACTTGGGCCCTTCCTTTTCTGCAAACGAAGAACCCAGCTCTCCTGAGCCGCCAGACTTTTTCGGAGAGGAAAGCAGACGGCAAGGGGAAGGAACCGCAAGAGCTGCAGTTGCAGCAACTGCAGCTTCAACGGCCTCTGCTAGAGCAGGTGCCACAGCAGAAGCGTGGAATAGCTCGCCCTGTGCGGCGTCTCCCAATGCGGGTAGAGTCAGGCGTCGTTGGTCTTTGTTGTTGAATGAACAACCGCTGTCTGTGACGTCGCTGCCGCTGGAGGTGCAAGCGGCGCTCCAGCAAGATCGAGGAACCTCCTGTCGCAGCTCCTCTGTGCCTGAATGGTTTGACATTCAGACTGGCTGTATAAAGAAAGAACTGTTGCCACAGCTTCCGTCCTTTCGCTCCACTCTCAACACTTCCGTCGCTCGACTGTCTGCGGCCTCCCGTGTGCACCACAGAGTCCGGTGGCCAGGAGAACCTGCTAAGGCTACCACTGCGAGTACGCAGCAACTGCACCCCAAACTAGAATCTGCAGCAGCAGCAACTCGAAACGCCCTTGTGCCTTCAGCAGCAGCAGTACCAGGTGCATCAGGGCCTGTTCCTGGCGCACTATTGCGCAGGAAGTCGGACTCGTTTGCTCTCGCTCTTCATTCCCGAGGCTCTTCCCCCACAGAGTTGAGGAGCATCAGCCACAATTTTGCCCATGAATCCACTCCTACTGCCTCACTTGGTGCAGCAGATGCTACAGCACAACCGCAGCGTTGCCGCCGCGTTCGTTTCGCGACAATGCCTTCAGCGGTGGAGTACAGAGAGCCGTCCCCGTACGGAAGGTCAGGAGGGGCTTCACCTCCTACCTCCCCAAGGGGGGTTTACTTGCCTGCTCCAAGTGCCGCTCATATTTCCTCTCCGCAAGAAGCAGAAGCAGCAGCTGCATCAGCCCCAACCGCCGCGAGAGGTGGTGGTAGTGTGCACAGCACATCCACACTTTTGAAAAAAATGACGCTGATGATACAACGGCTCCTCGACTACCCGCCGCTGCAGCGGCATCACCAATCCAAGGTGAGGAAATGAAAAACCGAAACAAAACCCACCATTTGCTGGTGTCGTAAACGGCGCCAGCAGCATCTTTCAGCTGTAGCAGTACCATCACCGGCTCACACCGGCGCGAGGCGCCGATACTAGAAGTTGCCCATCTGTACCTCATTGCAGCGTTGAAAAGGTGGCTTTTTGCAGCGAATTTTCACCGCTTGCATACATTCTTCTTGTTGGCACTGTTTCTTTGTTGACGATTTAGGATAGTTTACAAGACAGTCTACGGCTATTTCATGCCTTTGGGGAAGAGTGTATGGGTCGGCATCCTTCGTTGAGCTATTTTGGCGACTGTTTGGAACGTTGCGAACAGTTGGTTAAAACAAAGCTGCCGGAAGAAGAAGAGGGGCCTCTTAAAGACCTTGTGCAGACAGCTGCTGCTTCATTGCTCTCCCGAGAAGCCGTTCTCAAGCTGCATCGAATGCGGCTGCAGTTGCAACACCCACCAGAAATGGAACTCTTCCTCACTCCTCTCGAGACGCTGCAGGCAAACTACCTAATGGCTTTACATAGATATAGCTACACTAAGACACCCACAGTAAAGTATAAGTATATGGACATCACAAGAAACCCGGTAGTGCAACACTCAACAGTCTCCAAATGTAATTGCCTTGACACACCGCGAGGACAAAACGGCAACAAACCATGAACTTGATTCCTCTACTCCAACCTCGTTGCTCCCGCTGTGCATTGTATGACCTGTCTGTCTGGGTTTTGCTTTGCATCTCCAGTCATGTGTCTCTGCCTCTGTTGTATGTATTCTTTTCCGCCGTATGCATTGAACTCTCGGTCTATATTAGGACAATTACCGTCCCTCCCTCGTTTGTCCATGCATATTATTGTTTTCGGTATTGGTTTGTCTTTTTACTGCACAGCGCGTGAGGATTTATGACAGGCGGAGAGCCACTTCGGGGCTTCGTCTCCACGCAGCCACTGCTGACGAGGCGCTTTTAGAGGGCGAGATGCGCACAAACCCCAATGTCTTTCTCTTGTGAGGCTGATTGTTTAGGGGGGTAATTCGGGACCGAGATGTGGGATGCAGATTGGGATTTTGAATTCATGTAACAATGCGTGTATTGTGCATCCACCTGCGTCGCTTGCTTGCTCACATGGAGCTCTCATGTACTCATGCAGCTGCCATGCTTGCATGGAGCATGCTCAACTGTGTTGGATTGTCGTAAACAGGGCGGCTGCCTGTGCAGCATTCATCGTGATGCAGCCGATGCTGTTTCGGCAACTGCTGCAAGAACAACAACAACTACAACAGCGGCACCAGCAGCCTTCTACTGAAGTTGTCAATGAAGGGGTATTGCGTTATGAAGTGCTGTCTTATGGTGTCGTGTGTTTTGGTTTCATGCAACATGTTGCGTCGGCTAACAGTTTGATGAACACAATACTCTTATGCTGGTGACGTTCCTTTCTTGTACTCAGAAAGGGTTTTGCCTGCGGCGTTGTGTCCACCCGGCGGTGGCATTTGAGCCAAACTCCTCGTGCCTTTGCAGCGTCTGTGCTGCTACAGCTGCAGCAGCTACTGCAGCAGATGCAGGAGCAACGGGAGTCTGCACTGCAAGGTTCAACGTGTCCGTTTACTTCTGGTTTAGCGTTGCCAGTAGGCTTCAAGCCTTCGATGAATTTCCCAGGACAAACCCACTTTCGTTTGACGCACCTCGTTGAGACCGCCCTCCGTCAGACAACAGAAAAGGGTTGCTGCAGTCTTGGAGTTCTTTCGATGGACGAATCAGGTTGGCGCGTGCATGCATGCTGAAACGTCTCCGGTTTTAGGTTATCTTGAGTGACAAAAATGTACGAAAGACCCAAAAGTGTGTTGCCTCATCGAAGCCACAGTTAGATTCAAGGTTTATTGCGAGTTCACGCATGCAGTTATTCATGCTTGATGCATGCATGCAAGCTGCAATTATTGCGGATGGCTGACGCCTTCCTTCACGCCAATAGCCATCATCGCTGCCACAACAAATGCGCACACAAAAGAACGCATGCACGCCAACTATATGAACACATATGAGCTATCAAGGAAACACACACACACACACACACACACACACACACACACACACACACACACACACACACGATTGTGTACCTATGGCTCACGGTTTTGTCTACATAGCTGTCATGATGAGAAAGAGTTTCATGCATGCATACTTTACTGCCAATAAGTAACTGTCTCTGGTGTACGCATAAGTATCTTTACAGCCGGTTCACAGCTAAATATAACCACATGTGTATTATGCATACATATACGGAGCTACACATATATATAATATTGCTACACCAGTGCTTTTGCTGCTCGGCTTCTGTTTGAAGGAGAAAAGCTTCGATTTGCAACAAGTGGGTTTATGCGTCTTTTGGTTCTGCGGCGTTCTGCGGCGTCTGGAATTTTGTGTCGCATTGCTGAGGCACCGGTGCGTAATGTAGCAATTGCAACCGAGTCGCAGCTGTTCAAATGGCCATCTGTTAAGGAATTGTTGAATAAGTCCAACACCGATAATGCCTCTTTCCGGAGGCGGGAATACGCAAGGAGCGAGAAAACGAATAAAGTTGGTGTTGACAAAGGGGCACGCAAGTAAGATCAACAATTTCCCCCAGCAGCTGTGTGGTTGGGGGCGTGAGTTGCCATCTACAAGTGCACGCATCTCGAGGTTTGCTTTCCCCAAAAGGGAATGACAGAGGATGAATACAGACTGCCAGATGCTGGTTGTCACTAATTGTTTCGGTGTATTGTTGTCTTCAGACACGATCCGGCGGTAGGCTGACTCTGTCCTCGTGCGCTTCATTCAATTTCTGTGCCGTTGCTTGCAACTGTGCAATGTGCAGACAAGGACTAATGCGAGTTGTGGAGTGGGCAGACACAGGAGAGCCCTGGAGTTGCAGAGGCCTTGTAGAACAGGAGGTTTTTGTTCAAGAAGGCGACTTCTTTGTTGTCGCAGATGAAAGTAAGCAAACTCCTTCGGCAACTAAGTGTAAAGCATATTTACACAGCATATTTTGGCCCAGTACGCACTCTGTGTGCAGTTGCCCATGCTGTGGACTCCCTTTATGAGTTCGTTCCGCAGCAGTACTCTCAAAAGCTACGCATCTCCAAATAGTTGTTCTGAACAACAAAACGCAAGCAAGACGAAACGGAACGCTATATGTATACGTTGTGTTCTTCTTTGTGGTGGGAGACGTTTAATCCAAGCGAACGAATGTTCTGCGCTTTGTGTTTGTTTGCTCGTTTTGCTATCCTTGCATCGATACCTATTTCTCGCAGTTTGCACTATTCCATTATGTGTTCCCGCGCTTATTTGTTTGGTGCTCTTAATTTCGTATTGTGCGTCCTAGTGCATTTGTTTAATTTGCTGTTGTGGCTCAGTATTGTTTGAAGTAGTGACATGCGAGGAAATGCGTCATTTGTTTTCCTGTTGTCTGGCATCAGTAGAGGTGAGATGTTCAGCAATACCCTCATAGCTGAGTCTAGACTTTGGGATCAACTTACTCGGTACTTTGTTGAACTGTAGGAATTTCACCCACTCCCCGTATTCAGAGTATTTGCATTATTGCAGTGAATTGGAGTAGTTAATGCAACTGATTCTGTGATGCCCATTGATTTTGTTTTCTTGAGTTCGGAAATGTGTGGGACGCATTGTCGGGAAAGACATTTTGCTTGTTGTGTGTCAGGGCGAAGACGCGACTGACGTTTCCCTGTGCATCGCCCCCTCTTGTCTTTGCTTGCTTCTTAAACGCTTGTGGCGGCAACGCGTACCTCATTTGCAGGTTCTCTTGAACAAATTGGAAGAAAGAAAACAAAAGCTAGTTGTGCAGGCCGCCGGGAGAAGAGGCGTGAACGGGACTCTCGACGCCTACCCCCTCGACCTTTCCATAGCAGCAGGCTGGCTGCGCAAACCCCGCACAAAGGACACAAATGCGCAGACATATACGAACCAAAATGCAAACACTGAGGCAGATATCAGCATAAGGGCAGGTCCAAATGCAGAGGCGGATACGTATACGGACCCAAATACATATTCGGATCCTTCCAGAGATAGCTGACGCCTTCCTTCATGGCCAGTAGCCATCACGGCTGCCACAAACAAATGCAAAAACAAAAAGATTCATACAGGCCAACTCTATGAAAACACAGGAACAGTCATGGAAACACACACACACACACACATACATACATACATACATACACATACAGCTACAAGTAAACACCAGCACCGACGTGGAACGCAGACACACACACAGGCACACAAGAGCACGCATAAACATAGGCACACGCATAAGAACAAGCGCAAAAACGTGCATAGCAAAACAGGCACATTAGAGAATGAATATAGGCAAGTATTTGCAGGCTACGATGCAAAAATACACAAACTCGTAAAACTACAGAGAACCTGTCTCCCTGCAACCCTATTCCCCAACCCGCCAGTTCTTTTCCGAGCGCAAGTGTGCGAAGCGCTGCACAGTAATAGTGTGCCTCTTACCGCTCCAAACACATATTGTCCCCACCTGTATTTCGTCGTTTTTTTGACAATGACATGCAACCTTAGCACCTCCAATCTTACGGGCAATCGTCCCGTAGGTCTCACGAACTACGTGGTAGAAGCACATGTGTGCCGGTACAAGCACATGTGCGCCCTTCTCGTGTCTTAGTCTTTATTCTGCCGTCCTCCTCGGATATAGGGTTCAGTCGGAATGCACTGCAGTGTAGCACCTGCCTCAATATGGGCTAAGTTCTGCTTCGTCAGCTCGTCTCAACAACTCGCTTAGTGTTAAATTGAACTATGATGAAGACGATTTCGGCAACAACAGCTGGGTCTAGAGTGTCCCTAGCTCAGATTAAACAATAGTATCGAGCTATGTGCCGGGCGCGGGAGAACGTCCTAGTGCAAAGAGATAACGCCTGCTACGGAGGTCGAGTAGACCTTCAGAGTGAATTCGAGAAACAAAAACAACACATTTCTCGCTTGGGCTTCGGGTTCAAATTGTGGTTCTTGGTGGTCTCGCCAGGTTTAACCCCACTACCATCACTCCCTTTCAAAGCCCTCAGTCCACCTAGCACCCTTCGTGATTTCGGTGTTGCTATGCATGCTGCTTGCTGTTCTTTCACATGTTTATCTTCTTGCTGCCTGCCTCTTTAGTGTTCGCTGTTTGCCTGTTGCGCGACTGCTGTATGACAATGCTGTCACTTCCCGCAAAGCTCCCCCCCCTGTTGTGCTACTGCACTATGACAATGCTGTCACTTCCTGCAACGCCCCCCCGTTCCCTCAGACCGCAACTATCTGCACGCCGAGTTCTAACACGGTTCAGGTATGCCTTCCCCGCACCCTCTATTAAACGTAGATGGATTGCAGCCCGTAGGTCTGGCTAGCTGTACTTATTCCGTAATTACGCTCACAGAATAATCACCTGGCCACAGCTGCGTACACAGCTGCACGCAGCCACCATTAAAAAGTGACTGGCTACTCTGCATCAGGGAAGGGAAAAATGCAACTGGCCTTATATACAGGACAGGAGGGCCTCACGCCTTCTTAGAAGGGTTCAGCGTTGCGAGTTCTATGAGTTGCTTTGTACAAATTTAAAGAAATGCCGTTGCTACTTGCAACGCACTCAAACGAGAACGTCGGTAATTTCGCCTTCACCACAACACTTGCAGATCCCGCACTTGGCTGAGTTGGCGTCATCGCGATTATACATGAGTAAATGCGGGCAATACATTTACTGCATGAAGCACTATACCACCATGCATGACCTATTGAAAACCGTGTATGACCCGCCTGTGTCACACATGCCCTCCTTGAAGCACGTGTGAAATGAATAACCGAGACCGATGGCTGAAGGGGTAATGCTGCTGTGACAGGCGTCGTCCAGGACAATAAGAGCACAACTGCTGTCCTTGCTGTACAGGTGCACTACACTAAACAGATTTGCGTTGGACTGTAGTGGGGAGTTAAAGCCACGAGGTGTAACACTTTCTTTGTTTGCCGTCTCCTCTCAAGCTGCTTCGGCAGTTTGTTTCGGCGTCTGCTTCGGAACATATTGTTTCCCGCGCTCCCTATTCCAGTTCTGCCCTCGCCCGCGGCCTCGCCACGGTTTCCATCCTCCCCGCCCTGCAGTTCGTTCAATCGACACAACAGTAAAACTACAACTGCCTCTGTCACAGCCATGCAACAAGAGCCCCTACAGTTTTACGCTGGCAGCCTAAACACCCTCTATAGCGCAAAACGACACGCAGCATGCCAGCCAGCCAGCGAACATTCTGCTCGTCAACACTCACAAGACTCATCCGGGAAACTCTTCTCATTATTACCCGACCTGCACAATACATGCACCACAAAACATCTGTATTTTGGGGTGGGGTGGGGTGGGGTGGGAAAGGGTTATAAAGCTGCATAGCTTGTTCTTACCTTCCTCCTCTTGGGCCTCGAGGCACCCAGGCATCACCACGACCTCCTCGCCTGTAACCCAACGTGGTCCCACCACGTCGACCTGAACCCCACACGCCACAAGAAGAGAAGAAGTAACTCTGCTTGTGCACGAACTCATACGTTAATATAGATAGGCATAGGCGCCCGTTTGTAATGGCAATGCTTCTAGAAATTAGCAAACCGTGGAAGGTGTTTCCGTGCGTCTTCCGCAAAACCACAACAATAGAAAGACCTCAGTGGCAAACAGGCCACATCGCAAAAGTCAATCAACAATTACCAATAAACAACAATCAACAACAGTCAATCAACAGTCACTCAACAACTAATCAAGGAACAACAATCAAGAAACAGTCAACAAGCAAATAACAAACAAACAACAAACACCAAACAACAGGCAACAACAAGCAAAAACAACGAAAGCATCCGAGAAGGCCTGAAACCGCGAACGCACCGGGATGCCTTCCCCTTGACCAACCGCTGCCTGGAGGCCTTTCCCCCGCCTCTTCCTTCTGCAGAAGTTCCCACATGTCGTGTTTCCACTCGCCTCTGTTTTCGTCTGGCGTCCACAACTTCTTGCTGGGACCGACGCTACAGCACATCAAAGAGTCGAACGCCGCAGTCAAAGAAGTGCATATGCTCGTGCGGTACCTTTGTTCATAAGTAAACCCTAAATACGAGGAGTCAAAAATAGCCGCTTTGGTTCGAGTGACGGTTAACGGAACGGAGAGAAGATACAACTGCATGCTTAGAGTCGAAGGGAGACTACACGTCTCAGAGATGCCACCGGGATCCGTTATCCGTGAGCGAAGGTCCAACGGCATAGACGCTCAACACGTGAAACCACATGAATCCACAGACAATAGAAGAGATAGGGGGAGCACTAATCACATCCTCTTCCCATCTGCAACGCTATGTTGCACGTGAAACAAACAAGGGAAATATGACACGCTGCTGCAAGAGTACACTTCCGGCTTGGGAACCTCAATCAGATAAAAACAAAAGCGGCGAGGATATGCTGCCAAACAAAGAAGCCAGTGAAGCGTCACCCTATCAACAAAAGGTCCCCGTAATGCGGGGACGAACACAGTGTAGGGTTGGAGGGCAGGTGGAAAAGCAAGAAGAGCAGTAAAAGATTAAATGTACCTCTGGATGGCACAGAGCCAAATAAAGGAAGCAGTCACTAGCCATTACATAGTACCCTTTGAATACCAGAGGGGCGAAAAAAAGCATGTACAATCACTGATTGCCCGCACACAACGGGTGCAGTCAATACATCTATGCACACCACATGGCCAGAGAAAACACACAGTGCTTACCGCGTTTGTGTACTCTGTGGCACTGAGTCGTCAGGCTGGCTGCTCGAGGCCTCGTCAGACTCATCCGACTCCCCACTGTCACTTCCCCGTCGATCGTCGTGCAGAAAATAGCGGGTAGCCCGAGGTACATAGGAAGGGTCCTCTTGCATCAGCTGCAAATGCAGATGTACGCATGCAAGCAAACATCAGGTGAGCATGCCTACAACTACTTTGGTAGATGGCCACATCCCCAAAAGCACACTCTACCGAAGCCTACATGGAAGCATGTACGCACGTACGTGCACGCACCCATCCATAGACAAAATATGCATGTTTTCATACGTGCAGGTGTTTCTTACACTTGTAGAGTTGAGGAAGGTGCTCACCTGCCATGTCGACTTCGGCCGCTGTCTGGCACCTTCTGCTGCGCTTCTGCGATGTCTGACATCTGCATCATTTGCCAGTTCCGTCTTCCTTTGCGCTTCACCTTCTGCTTCGCATGACTGTTCACTGGATGCATGTGCATCTCCAGCCACTTCTGAGGGGCTCTGATTCGGATCATGGGAGTTGTACTTGACAGATGAGGCAGCAAAAGCTGCAGCAGAGGAGGATTCACCTGCAACAGCTGCCCCAGTTTCTGTAGAGCCACCGGCAGGGGCTGCGTCCGCTGGAGCTTCCTCTTCTGTTTCACTGCCAGAGCTGACTAAGAAGCATAGCACACGAGAAGACAAAACGGAGATGACATCAAGAGGAGCTCGAGCAAACTCAAGTACAGATGAGCCGACCGGATGTACTTAGAAGTAAAACAGGATGCTCTCGCCAATTCTTCAGAAACAATGCATTAACAACAAGTTGATGCAGGTAAACACTGCATGGGGAACCGCACTCGGCGGGATGAAAGATATAATCACGTGATACTCCCCCACCTTCACCTGCAGCATGGGCGGCCTCCATACAGCTACACTCTGGTAGGAGCGACATTGTGCTGTCAAAAGACCAATCTGGGTGGCAACATAACTAACGTATTCACCCATAAGGCAGCAATGAATAATGCTCATCTACTAATTCCAAGTATACCATTCAGCAAAACGTACCATCCGACTTTTCATCGAAGACGTCGCCTTCGTCCTCCTCTTGAGAGGATGCTCTGCGGAGGTTTCGCGGGTTCCCCATCTTCCAGTTTAGCACCTCTCTCTTAGTATGCCCACGGAATTTGAATGCTGGTAGGATGAGGTCTGGTACTTGGACGCTGTAGGAGAGTTACTAGTGCATTCAACCCGCGTTTGTGTCGCGATTACCTGCAATTCTACGCTCCTCTACTGACGAGGACAAACAAATATGGGCTCCCCTTCAGTAGATCTTGCACTGTAATTTCACTCCTCGCCACATTCAGATTCACGATGTGTGCTGAGCCCAGGAAAGAACGGAGACGGCCGGCGCATCACGCCTCACATGTCGTTGTTGTGCGGAAAGCGCAGATCAAAGGTGTAGGAAAAGGAATAGGCCTGAGGCTTCTGTTTTCGCGTTTCGTTTCTTCAATACCCTCACAGAAGATCGGTGCTGCTGCTCTCTCGTAACACGCGACACACCAGTGCCTCTGCATCTCTGCATGTACCAATTGTGAGCCTCCCCCAGAGGTAAAACAGACCGCAATATTTCTAACAAAACCCTTTGCGTCTATAACAGAAGATAACGAGCTTTAAAGCGCTAGAAATATCAATAGATGCCTGCAACGAGGCATTGATGAGCATGCACGCAGCAGCTACTGCGGGCACAGCCCATACATATATATGAACTCAAATCGGTCAATGAGGGCCGCCACCTGCGGATAGGCAAATACGTAGAGCTGCAGTGCTCTGTTCTGAGGCTTTTTATAATTTAGTTGAAGGGGGAAAAGTCATTTTCACAGGAATAACTGTCAGACATTGCCCTTTGTAAACTTGGTGGGCTTCCTACCTCCAGGTGCCCTCAGGTGACTGCGATGGCGCCTACGACGGTACTACGCATGAGTTGTAAAGGTAACGAGGGGAATAGAAGAATCTTCATCCGCCTTCACCATTGACTGTTTTCAGGAAACTTTAGACGCCCTGGTTTTCTTCACAGCAATGTATGAAGGATTGTGCAACTGTAGGCAGAAGCATTCTTGGCTTCCTTCCAACGCATGTTTCATCCAGACGGGCGAGTATGTGTTTAAAGGTTGCATACATTGTTTGTTCATGCAGAGAAAAAGCTCTTCAATAGGCATGTGTTTGACGTTTGCATGTAGGAGTGACTGCATGCTGAGTAGCATTTGTAGCGCGGACACTTGGATCTTATTCACACTATTGTGTGTTGCAGTGGAGCCGAAATATTCCACATGAGAACTCCTTTAGTGCCACTTGACTCCCCCGCCGATCCCTTGGCTTCCTGAACG